ATATGGTACAGCAAGTTTTGTAGCTTGCAAAAGAAATGCCGCAAGTTTTGAAGCTTGCAAATATGGTACAGCAAGTTTTGGAGCTTGCAAAAGAAGTACCACAAGTTTTATAGCTTGCAAATATCGTTTAGCAAGTTTTGTAGCTTGCAAAAGAAGTACTGCAAGTTTTGTAGCTTGCAAATTTGGTACAGCAAGTTTTGTAGCTTGCAAATGAAGTACCGCAAGTTTTGTAACTTGTAAATATGGTACCGCAAGTTTTGTAGCTTGCAAATATGGTACAGCAAGTTTTGTAGCTTGCAAATGGAGTACCGCAAGTTTTGTAGCTTGCAAATATGGTACAGCAAGTTTTGTAGCTTGCAAATATGGTACAGCAAGTTTTGTAGCTTGCAAAGAAAGTACCGCAAGTATTGTACTTGCCAATATGGTACAGCAAGTTTTGTAGCTTGCAAAAGGAGTACCGCAAGTTTTGTAACTTGCAAATATGGTACAGCAAGTTTTGTAGCTTGCAAAAGGTGTACCGCAAGTTTTGTAACTTGCAAATATGGTACAGCAAGTTTTGTAGCTTGCAACAGGAGTACCGCAAGTTTTGTAGCTTGCAAATATGGTACAGCAAGTTTTGTAGCTTGCAAAAGGAGTGCCGCAAGTTTTGTATCTTGCAATTTTGGTACAGCAAGTTTTGTAGCTTGCAAATGAAGTACCGCAAGTTTTGTAGCTTGCAAATATGGTACAGCAAGTTTTGTAGCTTGCAACAGGAGTACCGCAAGTTTTGTAGCTTGCAAATATGGTACAGCAAGTTTTGTAGCTTGCAAAAGGAGTACCGCAAGTTTTGTAGCTTGCAAATATGGTACAGCAAGTTTTGTAGCTTGCAAAAGGAGTGCCGCAAGTTTTGTAGCTTGCAATTTTGGTACAGCAAGTTTTGTAGCTTGCAAATGGAGTACTGCAAGTTTTGTAGCTTGCAAATATGGTACAGCAAGTTTTGTAGCTTGCAAAGAAAGTACCGCAAGTATTGTACTTGCAAATATGGTACAGCAAGTTTTGTAGCTTGCAAAAGGAGTACCGCAAGTTTTGTAACTTGCAAATATGGTACAGCAAGTTTTGTAGCTTGCATATGGTGTACCGCAAGTTTTGTAACTTGCAAATATGGTACAGCAAGTTTTGTAGCTTGCAACAGGAGTACCGCAAGTTTTGTAGCTTGCAAATATGGTACAGCAAGTTTTGTAGCTTGCAAATGGAGTACCGCAAGTTTTGTAGCTTGCAAATATGGTGCAGCAAGTTTTGTAGCTTGCAAAAGGAGTACTGCAAGTATTGTACTTGCAAATATAGTACAGCAAGTTTTGTAGCTTGCAAAAGAAATACCGCAAGTTTTAATGCTTGCAAATATAGTACAGCAAGTTTTGTAGCTTGCAACAGGAGTACCGCAAGTTTTGTTGCTTGCAAATATGGTACAGCAAGTTTTGTAGCTTCCAAAAGAAATGCCGCAAGTTTTAAAGCTTGCAAATATGGTACAGCAAGTTTTGGAGCTTGCAAAAGAAGTACCGCAAGTTTTATAGCTTGCAAATATCGTTTAGCAAGTTTTGTAGCTTGCAAATGAAGTACCGCAAGTTTTTTAGCTTGCAAATATGGTACAGCAAGTTTTGTAGCTTGCAACAGGAGTACCGCAAGTTTTGTAGCTTGCAAATATGGTACAGCAAGTTTTGTAGCTTGCAAATGGAGTACCGCAAGTTTTGTAGCTTGCAAATATGGTACAGCAAGTTTTGTAGCTTGCAAAATGAGTACCGCAAGTTTTGTAGCTTGCAAATATATTACAGCAAGTTTTGTAGCTTGCAAAAGAAGTACCGCAAGTTTTGTAGCTTGCAAATATGGTACAGCAAGTTTTGTAGCTTGCAAAAGGAGTGCCGCAAGTTTTGTAGCTTGCAATTTTGGTACAGCAAGTTTTGTAGCTTGCAAATGAAGTACCGCAAGTTTTGTAACTTGCAAATATGGTACAGCAAGTTTTGTAGCTTGCAGCAGGAGTACCGCAAGTTTTGTAGCTTGCAAATATGGTACAGCAAGTTTTGTAGCTTGCAAATGGAGTACCGCAAGTTTTGTAGCTTGCAAATATGGTACAGCAAGTTTTGTAGCTTGCAAAAGGAGTACTGCAAGTATTGTACTTGCAAATATGGTACAGCAAGTTTTGTAGCTTGCAAAAGAAATACCGCAAGTTTTAATGCTTGCAAATATAGTACAGCAAGTTTTGTAGCTTGCAACAGGAGTACCGCAAGTTTTGTTGCTTGCAAATATGGTACAGCAAGTTTTGTAGCTTGCAAAAGAAATGCCGCAAGTTTTAAAGCTTGCAAATATGGTACAGCAAGTTTTGGAGCTTGCAAAAGAAGTACCACAAGTTTTATAGCTTGCAAATATCGTTTAGCAAGTTTTGTAGCTTGCAAAAGAAGTACTGCAAGTTTTGTAGCTTGCAAATTTGGTACAGCAAGTTTTGTAGCTTGCAACAGGAGTACCGCAAGTTTTGTAGTTTGCAAATATGGTACAGCAAGTTTTGTAGCTTGCAAATGGAGTACCGCAAGTTTTGTAGCTTGTAAATATGGTACAGCAAGTTTTGTAGCTTGCAAAAGGAGTACTGCAAGTTTTATATCTTGCAAATATCGTTTAACATGTTTTGTAGCTTGCAAAAGAAGTACCACAAGTTTTGTAGCTTGCAAATATGGTACAGCAAGTTTTGTAGCTTGCAAAAGAAATGCCGCAAGTTTTAAAGCTTGCAAATATGGTACAGCAAGTTTTGTAGCTTGCAAAAGAAATACCTCAAGTTTTCAAGCTTGCAAATATGGTACAGCAAGTTTTGTAGCTTACAAATAAAGTACTGCAAGTTTGTAGCTTGCAAATAAGGAACAGCAAGTTCTGTAGCTTGCAAAAGGAGTACTGCAAGTTTTGTAGCTTGCAAATATGGTACAGCAAGTTTTGTAGCTTGCAAAAGGAGTACCGCAAGTTTTGTAGCTTGCAAATTTGGTACAGCAAGTTTTGTAGCTTGCAAATAAAGTACCGCAAGTTTTGTAGCTTGCAAATATGGTACAGCAAGTTTTGTAGCTTACAACAGGAGTACCGCAAGTTTTGTAGCTTGCAAATATGGTACAGCAAGTTTTGTAGCTTGCAAAGAAAGTACCGCAAGTATTGTACGTGCAAATATGGTACAGCAAGTTTTGTAGCTTGCAAAAGGAGTACCGCAAGTTTTGTAGCTTGCAAATATAGTACAGCAAGTTTTGTAGCTTGCAAATGGAGTACCGCAAGTTTTGGTAGCTTGCAAATATGGTACAGCAAGTTTTGTAGCTTGCAAAAAGAGTATTGCTAGTTTTAAAGCTTGCAAATATGGTACAACAAGTTTTGTAGCTTGCTAAAATGGTACAGCATGTTTTGTAGCTTGCAAAAGGAGTACCACAAGGTTTGTAGCTTGCAATTATGCTACTGCAACTTTTGTAGCTTGCAAAAAAAGTACCGCAAGTATTCTAGCTTGCAAATATAGTACAGCAAGTTTTTTAGCTTGCAAAAGGAGTACCGCATGTTTTGTAGCTTGCAAATTTGGTACAGCAAGTTTTGTAGCTTGCAACAGGAGTACCGCAAGTTTTGTAGCTTGCAAATATGGTACAGCATGTTTTGTAGCTTGCAAATGGAGTACTGCAAGTTTTATATCTTGCAAATATCGTTTAACAAGTTTTGTAGCTTGCAAAAGAAGTACCACAAGTTTTGTAGCTTGCAAATATGGTACAGCAAGTTTTGTAGCTTGCAAAAGAAATATCGTAAGTTTTAAAGTTTGCAAATATGGTACAGCAAGTTTTGTAGCTTGCAAAAGAAATACCGCAAGTTTTAAAGCTTGCAAATATGGCACAGCAAGTTTTGTAGCTTGCAAATAAAGTACTGCAAGTTTGTAGCTTGCAAATAAGGAACAGCAAGTTTTGTAGCTTGCTAAAGGAGTACTGCAAGTTTTGTAGCTTGCAAATATGGTACAGCAAGTTTTGTTGCTTGCAAAAGGAGTACCGCAAGTTTTGTAGGTTGCAAATATGGCTCTTCAAGTTTTGTTGCTTGCAAAAGAAGTACCGCAAGTTTTGTGTACAGTAAGTACAGCAAGTTTTTTCAATTTGGAAAATGCTTTGAGATAGACAGCTTAGGCTTATTGGAACATAAAGTTAATATTATTTACTAAAAGCCAAAACATGAATTTTAATGTTTTAAATTATTTTATTTTGTATTTTTTTGTTTTGTTTCATAGGTCTGTTGGTTAAATATGTCCAAATGAGAAAATGTATAATCATAGAACTTGTAATATGGTGTATTTTGATTTCTCGTTTTTAATAACTGCATGTGAAACCATTTACAATATCATTTCTTTTTTGTTTTTTTAGATTGGTTGAGGAAGAGGGGAAAAGCTCCCAGCCCTCTTCTTAATTTGTATATCGCTGGTGTATTTGTATATTAATGAAATACTATTTTAACTTTTAAATAATTCATTTAATTATCAAAATAAAGACTGAATTATTTTTATTTTTTCGAAGGCTGCAGGAGGGTGCTGACACGCACTCTCCCAATAGTCAATGTGTACATCACAAGTGTATGTTGTTTAGTAATAAAATAGCATTTTAACTTTTTAACAATCACGGTAGCCAGCCAACTGGAAATCAGGGAATATTCGGGAATTTTATTCTATTCAGTGAAATCAGGGATAAATCAGGGATTTTTTTCCCAAAAGTCAAGGAAAAAAAATTTTTTTTAAGTTTTTTTTTTACTTACTCTTAAACAACTAAACTTAAAAACTCACTTTTAAATATAACTGAGTCTGGGAAAAATATAAAAAGTCAGGGTATTTTATTGTACAGAGTGGCTGGCCACCCTGACATTACATTTTATTAAAATAAAGAATAAATTATTTTAATTTTTCTAAGGCTGAGTGGGGGTCGGTGGCACACGCCTTCCTCTTTTAGTCAATGTGTACATCATTAGTGTATCTTGTATGGTAAGAAAAGATTATTTTGACTTTTTAACAATACATTAAATTTTTGTGATAAAGATTAAATTTATTTTTATTTTTTGTAGGGCTGGGGAAGGGGTGTGCAGCAAACGCCCTTCATCTACAGTCAATGTGTACATATCTAGGGTATGCTGTATAGTAATAAAATAGCATTTTCACTTTTTAACAATACATTTCATTATTGAAATAGAAAATAAATTATTTATTACAAATATTTTGTGTATAAAATGTAACAATTACATTGAAAAGTCGCTTATTTCTGACAATAACTTGTATTTTCTTAAGGGTAAGATGATGTTTCATTGAAAAATTAATATTTTGACCGCAGTTTCTTCAGCAAATCTCTATATCTAATATTAGCCACTAAAAAAGTCAAAACTTTTTTTTGAGTTGTTTGATAATTTATATATATTTATTTATATATATATATATATATATATATATATATATATATATATATATATATATATATATATATATAATATATATATATATATATATATATATATATATATATATATATATATATATATATATATATATATATATATATATATATATATATATATATATATATATATATATATATATATATATATATATATATATATATATATATATATATATATATATATATATATATATATATATATATATATATGAAAAGCTTTCCTAAAACAAACATGGCGAGCTATGCGAGCTGCTTCACTCAATTCTTTAAATGATCATTGTTTTTATTTCTTGTAAAAAAAATTTTATATTTTCTTATTGTAACAGAATGCAGGGATTTTAAGAATTGTTAAAGATAATCATTGAAATGACTGCGTTTTTTTTTTAGTTACAATGATAATTAAACTTATAAGAGAAAGAAATTATACTTTTATAATATTAAAAAAAATAATACTTTTGCGAGAGCCGAAAATTGTTCCGGTAAACCGTTTCAGGGGAGTGTGGGCGAGAGTGAGAGCTAAAGCTCTCGCTTCCCGCCAAGGCCTGTGTGTATATATATATATACATACAAATATATATATATATATATATATATATATATATATATATATATATATATATATATATATTTATATATAATTTTAGTTGACAAATTATATGAGAAAATGTTATATTTTCGTATATGTGTTTTTGTAGTATGTAAAAAGTATATTCTTCTTGATCAACAAAAAGGAAATCAAATTTGCATAATTTAAAGTATTATGAATGAGTATTCAGTGGGCATGCGTCGTCCGAAGGATGTCCTAAGCACGTTAAATATAAGTCGGTCAGTCCCGGTACTTAAATGTAACATCCTAAGGACGTCCTTTCGTCTCCTAATTATTTATTTAAAAAAAGGGCGTCCTAAGGATGTTCTATTCACATAACGTAACAGACTTAAATGTACCAACCTATCTATTTTATAACACGTTTTTGAAAGTTAAAGGTTTTTCTATTCGTGTTGCTTAAAGTTTAATGTTTTGTTTTACTTAAATAGATTTATCATGTCGACAAAATTCAATGAAAAATTGAAATTGCAAAAAGAAGAGAATTGAGAAAAAAGCAAGGTAACTTTCATTAACTCTTTTTTTAAAATATTATTAGTTTACTGCTACGTAAAGCTATATTAATTTATATTTTAACTGCTATTTAAAGCCAAGTATACGTGTAGCTGCTATATAGAGCAGTATATAGCCTATATTATTATTAATATATAGCCAATATATTAGCTATATTTAGCAATATATGGACTATATCTACATAGACTACTATTTGGTTATTCTTCTTAATTGGATTACAAGATATGTAGTCTGTATTGCTATATTATAGCTATTTAGATTACATATCTCTTTTTCTTATTAATAATTAATAAGAACAAGAGATATGTAATCTATATAGCTATAGTATAGCAATACAGACTCCATATCTTGTAATCCAATTAATCTGTTTTTCTAAATAGTTTTGTTAGAATTACGTATATTTATTCAACGCAGAATATAGATAAATATATTCTAAGTAGACTATATTATATGTAGTACTATGTAGTACATATAGCTTACAGTCTACAGTTCATGAAGGAAGATTATATTCTTACATAGAATACGAATAGATATTCCTATTAATTATTAATAAAAATATAAATTATAATAAATAACTATATACGTATATATAGAATTATAATAATTAATTATAATTCTATATATACATATAGCTTATACGTAGTCTACTTAAAATATAAATATTTATATTCTACATAGAGTACATATACGTTATTCTTATTAAGAAGAATATGAGGTATGTAGTCTATATAGCTATATATTGTTATATATAGCAGCGACATATATCTTACAGAATACAGTTCTTGAAGGAAGAATATAATATATCTAATATATAACTATTCTTATTAATAAACGGAAAAAAACACATCTAAACTATTTTCAGTATCTGTGTTAATAAGTTTTAGGTAATAATAATATATAATAGATCACGAGCGGGAGATAATCCACTGCAAAAAAGGTGGTAGCTATCCTTACAAGAAGTGGTCCTTTCCCATAAAAAATACATCAAAGAAGAAAGCCAGTTACCAATAAATTAGATAACAATGGTTAGTGTCTTGCCTGCGAAAATACATCATCAGTAACAGTAAATGTTCAATGTTTTGTATGCAATCCCAAGTTTCATGTTGTTTGCCCATCTATTCCAAAAGAAGATATAGTAGCCAGCAAAACCACAGTTTTAAATTTCCTTCTCCCTTCAACTAAGAAAAATTTTCTGTTCTTTTGTGATGTATTTCTAACCAACCTAGAAATAAATTTATCTAAATCTGAAACATTGAGACTGAACACTCTAGATTGTAATGTTACTGATATCAAAACTCAGCTCAATGAAATAAAACAACTGTTAAACAAAAACTCAAGTAAAACCAAATTGGAAAAAGATAATTTATGGTTTAACAAGAAAAGATTAAATACAGTAAAAACTCCAACGCCAGACTCTCTTTTAGTTATCGGAAAAATATCTGATAAAAAAATAACATGTATATAATTGAAAACATAGTTATGAATAATAATATTCAATTGAAAAATTTGTATCATAATAAATCAGGGGATCTTTTCCTAGTATGTAACTCAGAAGAATCTAAAGACCAATTGATGAATTCTCTCAAAGACACGAACAATCAAATATAAGTAAAATCATATCAATTGAACATGCAAAAAATTATCATCAGTGGTTTACCTAGAGAGTATAATGAAAATGAAGTTGTTAATATGCTACACTCACAGAACAGTTTTATCCGAGAATTTAGCAAAGTGAACAACATTAAAGATCATTTTAAAATAGAAGCTATCAAACCGATAAAAAACAAACTAACAATGTTTCAAGTCTTTGCGAAAATAAGCAAAACATTATAAGAAGGCTTTCAATGTTATAAAAACAAAGTCACACTTGGATTAACGTCCTGCAGGATATATGACAAACTCAATATAATGTGTTGTTTTAACTGTCAAAGCTTCGGACATTATGCGAATGAATGCAAGAAAAACAATCCGACATGTGCTAAATGTAGCAAAAAACATTGAACCAATCTATGCTCATTTTTGGATAAAAAATGTGTTAACTGTGTTTTAGAGGGACAAAACGATCACTTTCACTTTTGATATTAAATATCCTTCTCTTGAAAGAGAAAAGAATACTTTGAAAGAGAAACTCAATAGCAATCATTTAAACGCCAAGTCCAGAAGGATGATAGAACTTACATGAGTCATATATTATGTTTGCTATGGAATGTTTGTTCTCTTATTAATAAACTTCCAGATTTAATGGAGCATATACTTGATAGGAATCCAATTTTTTTTACTGAAACATGGATGACTTCTGAAAACAGTAATACAACAGCAATGATAAAAAGTTATGGATATGTTTTGCGTCATAAAATAAGAAAAGAAAGAGATAAAGTAAAAGGTGGCGGTGTAGGAATTATGCTAAAACAATCAATTATGCACAAACAACTACCGAATAAACAGCTTCAATCCTTTGAACATGTATGTGTTAAAATTATGGTAGCAAAATAATCACTAATTCTAATTTGCATATATAGACTAATATTTGTTTCTCACACAACATTCCTGGACGAATTCATGGTTTTACTTGAAACAATAGTATCAACAGGTTGCACATACATTATAGCTGGTGATGTAAATATACACTTAGATACTAAAGGACTATATAGCAAAAGTTTTAAGGAATTACTAGATGCACTTAATCTTACACAAAATGTCAAAGAACCAACTCATAAAATGGGACACATATTAGATGTAGTAATTAATAAGCCAGATAAAATATCAGTTGATATGCTAGCTGTGACAGACTTAGATTTGAGTGACCATTTTCTCATTGATTATAAATTAGAACAAAAAATAGAAAAAAACACATACCAAACTATCACATACAGGAATTTAAAAACAGTAGACATTGTTGAAGTCTTTCAACAATGAAATATTAAGAAATAAATGGAAAATCTCATCCGCTGAAAATATGAAAGAGAAAATAACAATATATAATCAAGTAATGAAAGAAATTGTACAGAAACATGCTCCTTTGAAAACTAAAATAGTAAAAATAGTGAATACAGCTCCTTGGTATGATGGGGAGTATATGCAACTAAGGCAAAAACATAGAAAAGCAGAAAAGTTATTTAAGAGAACCAAAATTGAAAATGACAAAAAATAATATATACGCCTCAGAAAAAAAAACAACAATTACTGCTTATATAAAAAAAAGAACGTATTTCTCTAACCTATTACATAAAAACATCTCAAGTAAAAATCTTTTCTTAATGGTAAACAAGCTACTAGATAAAACTTAGGAACATGTACTACCGTCAGCGAATTCAGACAAAGAACTGGCTAACAACTTCAACAGTTATTTTATTGAAAAAATCAGAAAACTCAGATCAAATCTTTTAACATCCCAAACAAAGAAAAGTGCATCAGATTATAATGGTCAGTTTTTAAGAAATTTTGATCCAACAACTTACGAAGAAATTTACAATATAGCCATGTCATTTGGAATAAAATGTTCTCCAGATTTCATTCCAGCATATCTACTAAAGAATAATTTACAAACATTTATACATATATGGGTGGAAATAGTAAACCTTTCGCTAGAAGCAAGCAGCATGGATTGTCTAAAAAGTGCTACATTACATCCAATAATGAAGAAGTTAGACTCTGTCACCACAGATACAGAAAACTTCCAAAATTATTGACCAGTTTCCAATTTAGTATTCATTAGCAAGCTAATAGAAAGAGTAGTTTCCAATCGTCTAGATTCCGACATGATAACAAACAATCTTCATATAGAATATCAATATGGATACAAAAAACATCATTCCACTGAAACACTTTTGCTGAAGCTTACCAATGATATATTTGAACTCTTTGATAAGAATACACCTTCAGTATTTATGTTACTTGATCTAAGTGCTGCTTTTGACACTATTGATCAACAAAAACTATTTGTTATATTTTTCTATAAATTCGTTTATGGTACGTTGAAAACAAGCAACCCCATTTTCAATTCCAAAAGGCATTCGCTTAAATTGGAACAACCTCCCATTTGCTTCAAAAGCTGTAAATTTTCTATCATTTTTGGTAATTGGAATTTGATGGTAGGCTGATTTCAAATCAACTGTACTAAATATTTTGTATTGAGCAATTTTATTTACTAGATCATCAATCCTTGGTAATGGGTAAGCGTCTAGTTGAGTATACTTATTTATTGTTTGACTGTAGTCAATAACTAATCTTTTCTTAGAGCGTTCTCCTTTAGTTACAACTACCTGAGCTCTCCAGGGAGAATTTGAATGCTCTATAATGTCCTCTTTAAAGGGACTACCAAGTCCCGAGACATGTTGTGTTCATATTAAAGAGAATGTTAAAAAAAAAGGTCTGAGCAAATTTTTTTTGATTAAAACTTATTAATAAATGTATACCAAGAAAAACAAATCTTGTTGTTTTAGTCGAAGCTCGTCTTCTCCGTTTTCTCTGGTATTTTGAGTATGTAAAATAAACGCGATTTTCCAGGCGCATTATACAGACTTGATAATTTATTCAAGCGCGTTTAATTCATAGGAGTTTTAGTGTATGACGTCATTGGAAACATTCTAGAAATTCTTTAAAAATTTTACTATTAAATTTTACTAAAATAGCTAACTATAGTTACTTATTTTATTTTTTGAAATCTTCACATTAAAAAATATTTTTTTTATAATCCCATAAAATAACACGCTGTGTCTCATCGGTTACGCCCCAAACGGGGGAGGAGGGCAATAACTTTAGGTGTTCTTTTTTTAAAATTTAAGATAAGTTTTAAGAATAATTTTACCAAATTTAATTTTTTTTTTTTCGTTATGCCTAACATTCAAAGTTTTTTTAAATAATGAGACCCTTATGACATGTTTTATAGGGAGGGAATCTCCGACCTACTTTCCATTGCACTGGTAGCTATAATTTAGATTTTATCAATGTTTAATGTTTTTATATGATATATAATACTTATAAAGATACTGATAAAAAGTTGTTTTGTATTGTTTTGTAAATTTTTATTAGAAACTTTTATTTCGAAACTTTTCTTATGGTATTATCTATGGCCGTCACCACCGGTGTTGACGGCCCCCCAACTTTTTTTTAGGATAACTATATTTTTCTTGAAATGTAAGATTTTTTTTTTAAATCGAGGAGTGAGCCTCTTTGAAACTTTCCCCACTTTGAAGGCCGTGTTGACGGTCATGTTATCACTTTAACTGAAGTTTAACTTATTTAGCCGCGTGTCTGAATATATTTAATTAAATTTGTTTTGTAAAACTTGTAGGATATTTTTGATTTTAAAAATTGGAATGAATATTTTTGAAGATTGCAAGAAAATGTTATTATTGAGTTGATGATTCGACAAATAGAATAAATACAAGTCAATCTTTTATTTGTTATTCACGATGTTGTTTTTTAATTTGAATGCAAATTCGACATAAATTCAAAAATACTCAATGTAATGCATTTTTTAAATGTGCACTGTGACCGCATTCACTATGTGGACAATCTGTCTTGAATTTTTACCAAGTTATATTTATTATTACATTGAATAAAAAACAGCTGTGTGTAATTTACGTTAAATGTAAATTTTATAAATAGTTACAAAAATATTTATTTTATTAATTGTTCGTTAGTTTTTTTACAAATCTAACGAACAATTAATTAAACCAAGCACTAAGAAAAGAAAAATAAAAATATACTAATAAAATATATAATTTGTAATTAACTTTCAAAATTTTGACAATTTAAAAAATATATATTATAAAACATTTATTTTTGTAAACAAATGATAATAGTTTAAAAGTTTTACGGCTTTACAGATGTGGCTCCGAGAATGAGCCATAATATTAAAGTAATAGTTTATTTAATAATATATTCTTAAAGAAATTTATGCTAAATATTTCAAAACGCAACAAATCGTAAATAATACAATTCCTAAAACATTTCAACAGAACTTTATTTCGCTTAGTCAGCGTATTTTTTGAACCAATAGAATTAGTTTGTTCGCAAATTTGGCGGGTTTTTAGTGTTTGCGAATATTCTTTTTATTCTTCCGCAAGATGTTTTAAGTTAATTATGTTTCCATGCATGTCTGTTAAATAAAAATTAATATATATTAATTTTTTAATTTTTAAGTTCCCGCCATAATATATATTGGATGTTATAATGGAAACATAAATAATGAAATAAGATCACCTCAATACCAAAAAATACATTTTAGAAAATCAGAGAAAAAATGCGTTAATAGTTTTTTTTTTAATATTTACAAAGTAAATTAATAAAAGTGCATTATTATTTACGTTAAAAATTATTTAATCTAATATTTTGAAAGAAAAACTTATAAGAAAAGAAATCAAAATACACGTAGTCTAGACGATTATTTAAAAAAAGTTGCGCAAATAAAATACTATTTTGTTTTTTATTTTATTTTTGTTTTTAATTTTATTTTGTTTTTAATTTTATTTAGTTTTACAAACACATTTTAGAACTTTAAAATACAATAAAAATGAATATGATTTGGAAATTGTATGTAAAAAAAAACAATCGGTGTTTTAAACAAACAAAAAAAAAATCTATGACATCATGCACTAAAACTTCTATGAATTAAACGCGCTTGAATAAATTATCAAGTCTGTATAATGAGCCTGGAAAATCGCGTTTATTTTACATACTCAAAATACCAGAGAAAACAGAGAAGACGAGCTTCGACTAAAACAACAAGATTTGTTTTTCTTGGTATACATTTATTAATTAGTTTTAATCAAAAAAAATTTGCTCAGACCTTTTTTTTTAACATTCTCTTTAATATGAACACAACATGTCTCGGGACTTGGTAGTCCCTTTAAGCATACGTTGTACTTCCATTTCAATGAATAATTGGTCTTCTTTGCTATATCAACCAGATTTTGAAGCTATTGGTTTACAGTTAGGCGATAAATTGCCAAATAAACTAGGGGGAGATCCTTCAAACTTAAGGGTTACAACTATGTGTTGTTTTTGAAAATCGAGACCCAGAATAACATCCATGCATAACTCATTTAAGATTTTAAGTTTTACTAGTTTATAATGCTCATTTTTTATTGAAATATTGACAAAAACTACTCCACAAACTGTACTAGATAAAGATAATGAAGCCATAGATACCTGTTTTTGGTTTTGTCTATGAACTGTTAGGTTTAGTTTTTGTACCAATCGAGGGTGAATAAAACTATCAGTGCTACCACTGTCAATTAGAGCATTTACGAATGAACCATTAACCAACATGCCAATTGTTGATTTAGTCAAAGGTGAAATGGAAGCAGAAATGTTGTATTGCTGCTTCATAATTTGGACATTCGCTTATTATTTCATAAACATCGGGCACAACGAAATTAGTCAGGATTTTTAACTTATTGAGTTCTTGAGGGAGTTCATCAAGATAATATTCAAATGTTCTGAGCCAATGTTTAAATAATTTTGTTGCCGAAGGTGAGTTTGGTAATGTATCCAAGTGAGAAGGTCTTAGAGCTCTATCCATATTTTATTTTGATAAGAGTAGACAATTGAAACATTTGTATAAAGAACAACAATATTTTAATTCTTATAAGTTTTTCTACTCTAAAATAAATAAAGTAAATAATCAAAACACAACAGAGCTATTAACTAGTGAAATAGGCATAATGGACTCAGCTCACAAATGGTTTGAATCATTTTTAGTTAATCGTACCAAAAATGTTAAAATTGGTAACTCATACTCTACAAACCAAAATGTCAAATATGGAGCACTGCAAGGTACAGTACTGGGTCCAAAACTATTTAATATCTATATGAGACCACTGTACAAACATCTGAACATAATCAATATTAAAACTTTTGGATACTCAGATGATCATCAAACTCTCAAAGCATTCCTTCCTTCGCAATATAATGCATTAGTTTTGGATATACCAGAATGTCTTGGACACATATCTAAATGGATGAGCGAATCATTCTTATGCATTAACCAATCAAAAACAAAAATACTAATTATGGCACCACCTTACATTCAAAAAGATATTATTATTAAAGGTACTTTTGTTAACAAGAAATGCATTAGATTTATTGACTCCACAAAAAGTGGATACTTGACAATGAACTGGGTGTGATACTTGACAATGAACTGTCTTTGAAAACACAGATAAATAAGATTGTGAAATGTTGTTACAATATAAAAACCAAAATAAAACAATTCTTTTTGCATAAAGATTTGTGCACTATAGTATGTTCATTAATTTTTTCACAGCTAGATTATTGCAACTCCCTCTACATTGGAATTGAAAGGTCACTATTAAAAAAACTGCAGTCTGTTCAAAATAGTGCAGCAAGACTAATATTTAAAACCAGAATAGAAAATCAAATAAATGACCAGGTATTTATCAATTTGCATTGGCTTAAAATTAGAGAAAAAATTTATTTCAATAATTAATAATGCACAAGTCTATTATCCAGGAAGCGCCAGCATCATTGTGTAATTTGATTCACTTCTCAACATCAGAGAGAACTCTGAAATTAAAAGAAACAAAATTCAGCAATCGTTTTGGTGATCAGGCGGTATCCCACTATGGTCCTAGACTTTGAGCAAAACACATCTATTTATAAGAAAAAACTAAAATCATTTTTAATGGTGAATAGCAAAATATTCCACCAGAAAACTCTAGAATATTAATAATTATAAAGTAATATAATAATTTATTGCACAGCTGAGCAAGTGTTTTGCCAACTTACCCTTTATTTGGGCAAAACACATTAGCTGTGGGTAAACCCATGTATTTATTTATTTATTTAATAAGTAATAAGAATAGCTATATATAGTTTACATAAGAATATATTCAATGTGTATTGAAATATATTCAAGAATATATTTCAATGTTGACTGTATTCTGTAAACTATTTGTAAAAATATATTCTTAAGTTAAGTTTTACTACTTAAGTTTTACAGTTCTCAGCTTTTTCTTAAGATAACTGTCTCCAGTTTGTTTATAAGCAAATCGAAAGATAAGGCTTATAAGCAAACCATGAATTATTACAGCAGCTGGTTATAAGCAACTGCTATAATAATTCATGTTAAACTGAGGACTATCTTTTCACATATTAACTTGGAAGTATTTTTCATAATTTTTTTATCGGCCATTTTTGTCATTAACAAATTTGTCAATTGGCCATATTTGTCATTGACAAATTTGTTAAATATATTTTGAGAATTGCAAATATATTTTATGTTTTTTGCTTTTTTTAAGACGTTGGCGTTAACAAAGAAATTCTGTAGTTATTTTGTCAAATGAAGTTGGATCAGAAGGTGGTAACAGTATTTTTGAACCTTTTCTTAATCAGAATAATATATTGTGTGTTGCAAGTAATGTATCTGAATCCAATCGTTTTTTGTCACGAAAAGCTGGAAATCCTTATTTAGAAAATGCAAATGAATTGTGTTCAGATAATACATTTCCTCTTCTGTCTGAAGGTTTTTATTTACAAACAAATAATGCTAATGATGCTGATTTTAAAAATGATTATGGTCTGTGTTCAAATTTAGTTTGTGAAAATAGCTCAATCAGTTCCATATTAGATGATGAATATCAATTTGACAAAAAAACTTTGGAGAGATATAAAATCTTTGGCTTTAAAACACTCTTTGACAAGACAATGTGTTAATGATTTGATCAGAATTTTTATCAAAAAAAGTTGTTCCTTGCCAAAAGATTGCCGTACGTTATTTGGCACAAAAAAATAAAATATTATTCAATTGCAAAATAATGATGGAGAATATATTTATTTTGGCATAAAAAGCAATTTAGAAAGAATTTTAACTTTTTTTAATCATAATTCAGAAAAAATAAATCTGAAAATTAATATTGATGGGATCCCATTATGGAAATCAAGTTCCTATCAACTTTGCCAATTTTGGTCCAGTTTAGAGTTTTTCATCCTATTGTTGTCAAGGATTTTGGTGGTAACAAAAAACCAAATTTTGAAGTTATTCTGTTTGATTTCATAATAGTTAAAAGAACTAGTTGCTAAACCTGTTCAAATAAATGGCAATCACTATGAGATATCTATATTTTGTTTTACATGTGATGCACCTTCTAGATCTATGTTAAAAGGTATAGTACAACGCACAGGATATTTTTCATGTGAGAGATGTACCATAAAAGTTCAAGTTCAAGAAAAAATCATCAAATTGTGTTTAATGACCAAGATGATAAAGTTGTTTTACGTACCAATGAGTTGTTTCGGGATAATAAATATTGTGAGCCTGACAACAAAGGTAAACGTCATCAGTTAAATCAGTCACCTCTTGTTGAACTGCCATTTAATATTATAAATGATTTTTCACTTGATTACATGCACTTGGTTTGTCTTGGAGTAATGAGACAAATTTTATATTTTTATAAAGGAATGTTTAAAGGCGTTTTTGAAGGGAGTCTATCCTCTGTACAGCTAAATGTTTTATCTGACCGTTTAGTTGCTTTGAATGGCAAAATGCCAACTGAGTTTGTTCGTCAACCAAGATCTCTTTCAGAATTGGACAGGCGGAAAACAACTGAGTTAAGAAGTTTCCTGGATTAGTTGTTTTAAAAGGTATTCTCAGCAAAGAATGTTTTAAACATTTTCTAAGTTTATCTCTGGCCATTTGAATGTTGTGTGAAAAGAGTGTCAAGTGTCTTGACACGATGATTTGTCTCCAGCTAAAGAATTAATTTATTATTTTGTAAATAATGCAAAACAACATTATGGTAATTCTTTTGTTGTGTACAATGTACATTCATTATTAGACATCACTGAAGATGTTGAGCATTTTAGCTGCATTCCAGTTTAAAATTTTTTTACAAAATTTGATGTCTTGTACGTGGTAAGCATAACCCAGTTTCCCAGATTGCAAATAGTTTTAGTGAGCTTAAAGGTGTATCTTATTTAAAAGAGGATTTCACATCAAAAATCAATATAGGATTTAAGGATTCCTGCTTTTTGGTTAACGATGGTGTTGTATATATTACTGAAAAAATATCTGATGGAAGTTACAGATGCCAGCATCATAATGATTTACATCTGGAATCCTTTTTCCATTGTTTTATTGATTCAAAAGAATTAAACATTTATAATGTTAAAAAAATGCCCACTTTATTTATTGCAGAAAACAGAAATCAGGCTTGATTAGAAAATAAGTGAGTTTACCATAGAAGAGTGGTTACATTGTAATTCCTCTTCTAGAAGATTTTTAAATTAGTTTAAAAAGTTAAATGAAACATTTTTGGCAGTTAATTTTGTCTATACAAAATATACTTATTGCTTATATATATATTGTAATCTTAGTCATCTTAGTCAAGATTATTTTCTGAAAAAATTTAAATAAAAGTCAACAATTTAATTATTAAATAATGTTAAAAACAAGATTTTATTAGAAAAACATATATATATATATATATATATATATATATATATATATATATATATATATATATATATATATATATATGTATATATATATTAAGTGGATATATATGTATATATATATATATATATATATATATATATATATATATATATATATATATGTATATATATATTAAGTGGATATATACTGGTTATGCATCTGACATTATCTATAAGATTATTTTTCCATTGATTTTATTCAAACTTAAAATCAAACAATAATTTTTCAATAATATTTCTCTTACAATAATTATGAAATAATTCTGATGGAACTGCCAAGCAAGTTAGAATTCATAGCTTTTTATTTATAGTATTTATATAATTTAGGACAAATAAATATACCACTAAATTATTTTTAATTGATAACAAATACTTCTTGATAGCTTCAAGAAAGTTATCATGAAGTGAGGGGTGTATCTTCATGGTTGACCAGTGGCACTGGGCAACTCGTTCTCTCTAAGGGCGACTAAAGTTTAGAATAAAATGCCTCTTGGTAGCCTTGCAGGATGACCAGACAGTTTTTTACCTACAAAAGAGTGTTTATTAATAAAACCATATTTTGAACTATGAAGATTTTATTCTTTGTGATTATTTAAAAGAAACCTTTAAAAAAACATTCAAAGTACTTTTACAGTATGTTTAGTAGTTTTACACTAGGTTTAAAAATAATGGTGCATTATATAATTTTGCTAAATGTTATAAAAAGAAGTTAGCTTGAATTAGATTAGACATGCACACGATTTTAAATGTTTCAAAGTGTGACAATTAATTTTTTTCAAACGTTTTTAAAATTACCAAACTACTGATTATCATAGTGGGCGACTCAAGTAAGATAAAAAATATGATTCAGTCGTCCAAAGGGCAACTGGGAAATAACCGAAGGTTACACCACTGGAAGTTGTTTCATTTTTGTTAATGACAAAGCTATTTAATGTGAATATGTAACTAATTCTTTTATATTTGTTTAACTTAATGATAGCATATTTTTCTCTCTTTTTTTAAATGAAACAATAGTAAGCATGTTTTTGACTATTTTTGAATGTTGTTTTATTTACCGAAATAATTTTTAGTCAGCTTTGGTCAGCATGGTTATTATTGAAAACAAGCAAGAAGTCAAAACTGTTGCACCGCGTCCGTGGGCGGATTTAAAAAATATGATTTTGTACTGGCCACCAAAACACAAAGTGTTAAGTTTAGCAGCCGTGGCGCAGTGGTAGCGCACTTGCCTCAGAAACGTAAGATCCGTGGTTCAAACCCCACCTCTGGGCAAGTCTTGCGATATCGGTTGGGAAGGAGGCGTGAACTTCCCATTAAATGCTCTTCCGCGATGCTCTGTGATAAGACCGTAAGGACTTCTTGGAGCACCTTAATCAACTAAAAAAATAAATAAATAAATAAAAGTTTTTATATTTCTAGATGGTCTGCTCCTAAGAGCAACTGGACAAAGTTTGTTATAGTAAAAGTTTTATTGGAGTCCAGGCTAAAATCAGTGGCACAAGATAATGATAAGTTTTTTTTCAACTACAGACAATGAAATAGAAGTTGACTCTTGTTCAGATGTACTGAAGAAATTGAAGAGAAAAGTGGTTTGTTTATTTAATTAAAAATTCATATGATTTTTATGTTTCTAAATTTACCAATTAACTATGTTCCATATTGCATTAAAATTTTTGAAATGTTGGTCAAAAAAAAAAAATTACTGCCCTATACTTTCAGACATTTAAAAATTATTATTATTTGGTTTTTTTAAAATATTTTATAAAATGCCTTCTTGTCTGTTTTTTTTTATAACTTTTCTTAATAAAAAACAGACGAGTAGGCATTTTTTTATTTTAATTTTTGTAATTGTGGTTATAACCCTGTTTTAACTTTTTAACTCCAAAATGAACTAAGACAGCGGCATAAGCTTTCATAATGTTGTATAAAGATAAATGTGTTGCAAGTCCTGTTCTAAAACGCAAGCGCTTAATGCCTATTATACAATAAGAATGTACCTATATTTTCACAACTGAAAACCTCCTCCATACACCAACAAGTTGCTCAAAAGGTGAAAAATTACATTGTCAATTTCTGCTACCCTAAAATAAACTCGGTGGGCCCATACCTATTATAGGTTCGATGGCTATCTGGATTTTATCTACTTTATAATGATGTCTTTGATCATGGTATGATCAAAGACATCATTAACCTAATACTTTAGCTCCTTTAATCATGGAACTGAAGTATTAGATTATTTTTTTTAATGTTTATTTTCTTATACAATTTCAATACACTGTGCTTATGCGGCTAGCAAAATTAGAAGAAAATCAAGAAGACATTTCTGAAACAATTGGATTGCTTCAAGATAATGATATGGCGGCCAATAATAGTTCAGGCAGTTTAGAAGTGCTTCGAAGCATTGAAGAATTTGAGACAAAGGAGAGTAAACTCAAAGACAATGCTTATCTTCAGAAGAAGGTTATTTTAAACACTTACATACAGTTACAGTTATTTTAAATACTTGCAGATTTATAAATAGTTTATACTAGTTCATTTAATAGTTTAAGATTAAAATAAATATATTAAGATTCACAAATTATTTTAAGTATCAAGCTTATATGAAATATTTTCAAAAAATAAACTTTATTATGTACGAATAGGTTCAAAAACAAGAGAAAAAAAATTTTAAATTTTTGATTCAATATATTGATTTGATTTTTGTATTGTCTAATTTCTTTAGAAAAACCAGATAAAAGAAATTGGAGGAAAAGACGCAAGTACAGCAGTAAGGCTTGTTCTTGATGCAATAATGTCACAAGAAATACAGGATAGCTTTAGTCTGTATGGTTTGAAGAACAAGCAGTCTTTTTCAAAGACACTTCACTATTTGTGTTTATCAGGTATGTGAATGTAATAGTTAATAATAGTTGTTTAAATTATTTTTGAGCATAAATTATGCTACCAATATTTTAAGGTTAAGGCCAGTCTTTCCATTATGCTTTTACTTAAATGTTATCAGTCATCATAGCGCAAGACAATTATCAGCGATATATCTAAAGGTGTGCTTAATCACTTTAAAAGCCATTTATATTCAGTTTTTTGCACCTTTTGAAAGCTAATTATATTTTTATTGACATAATACAAAAACTAATATTTGTATTCAGTTCTGTGATTTAGTAGCTTCGTCGTTTCTCTTTTTCTTGTGACTATTTTTTTGAATACTTTGTGTTGTAGGTGCTCTATTTAATAGCAGCAAGGAAGATTATCGTAAAGATTGGTTAGATTATCACATTAGTGATATTTTGAAACAAGCCATTCGAAACAAAAGAATTAAAAGTCCGAAACCTGTTGTTACATTATAGATAAATGGGCCTTCTCATATAAAACTCGTTCGTTCTTTGTGGCTTCACATCAGACGAGCAAGATTATTTATGATTGTTTTGTTTTTTGATTTTGTAAATACATTTTTCAAATTCATAACCCGCTTTTTAATTTTTCTTATACTAGCGCATGTATACACAACCAACATAATCTAAAATAATTCTTTATAAGATTGAATGTTTTGTATAAATGCAGTATTATATATTATTATATTATATTTAGCTTTGTAAGGTTATATATAATTATATTATTTAATACTGGATAATAATATATAATACTTTTTTAAAAGTGGCACTTATAACTCATTAAGTCTTTTAAATGAAAAGGTATGGGTTATAACTCATGTAAGTACTCTTAAGGGTAATTTAAACTTTGAGTAAAATCTGATGTTTAAAATCAGTTTAGCCAAAGAATATTTTTAACTGCTTGATAGAACCGGGACTTGCTGAAGACGTCCGTAGGACGTGCTTTAGACGTTCTTCAACGTTGTCCGTAGAACGTCCCTTTAAGTCTCCGTTGGACGGACGAAAAGCGCTTGATTTGGTACGTCTGGAGGTCGTCCCGTGAGACGTCCCAACCCAGTGGGCAAGCGCGGTCCGAAGGACATCCTAAGCACGTTACATTTAGGTCGGTCCGTCTCGGTACGTAAATGTAACTTCCTTAAGACGTCCTTTCGTCTCAATAAATTATTATATAAAAGGATATCCCCAGGACGTCATCTTTCATCATGTACCGTCCTTATTCTTTTAACAATATTCCTGAAACAAAAGGCTTTTCTATACGAGATCGTAAAAATTTAACGCTTTATTTTACTTAGTCTGCTTAAAATTTAAACATTTATATTCTACGTAGAATACATAAAGGTTATTCTTATTATTAAGAAAAAGAAATATGTAGTCTGTATAGTTATATATTGATATATATAGCAGTGGCATATAGCTTTCAGACTACAGTCCACAAAGAAAGAATATTTTTTTATGTAGACTACCGTACATATAGCATACCGTACATATATTCTTATAGCTACTGCTTATGTTTTACAGTGATCGGCTTTTTGTTAAGGTAACTTTCTCCGGTTCCCTTAAGCAGCTATTTATATATTTGTCATTAACATATTTGTTTAATATATTTTGAGAATTTCATATATATTATATGTTTTTTGCTTTTTTCTAAGGCTAAGACGTTGGCGTAAGCAAAGAAATTCTGTACTTATATTGTCAAATGAAGTTGGATAAGAGGGAGATAACAGTGTTTTTGAACCTTTTGTTAATCAGAATAATATATTGTGTAATGCAAGTGAGGTACCTGAATCTAATTGTTTTCCTTTGCGAAAAGCAGCAAATGTGAATGATTCGTGTTCAGATAATATATTTTCTCTTCAATATAACTTATCTGAGTCTGAAGGTGCTTCTTCACAAACAAATAATGCTAATGATTTTGAAAATGATTATGGTCAGTGTTCAAATTTAGTTTGTGAAAATAGCACAATTAGTTCCAAATTAGACAATGTATATCGATTTGATAAAAAACTTTGGGGAGATATAAAATCTTTAGCTTTAAAACATTCTTTGACAAGACAATGTATAAATGATTTGATCAGAATTTTTATCGAAAAAGGATGTTCCTTGCCCAGAGATTGCCGTACGTTATTAGGCACAAAAAAATCAAATATTAGTCAATTACAAAATAATGATGGAGAATATATTTATTTTGGTCTAAAAAGCAATTTAGAAAGACTTTTAACTCTTCATAATCTTAATTCAAAAAAAAAAAACCTAAAAATAAATATTGATGAAATCCCATTATTCAAATCAAACACCTATCAACTTTGGCGATTTTGGTCCAGTTTGGTGTTTTTAATCCTATTGTTGTCGGAGTTTTTGGTAGTAACAAAAAACCAAACGTTAAAATTGTTCTGTTTGATTTTATAAAAGAGTTAAAAGAACTAGTTGCTGAACCCGTTGAAATAAATGGCAATCACTATGAGATATCTATATTTTGTTTCACATGTGTTGCACCTGCTAGATCTTTGTTAAAAGGTATAGTACAACACACAGGGTATTTTTAATGTGATAGATGTACCATAAAAGGTTTAAGTAAAGATCATCGAATTGTGTTTAATGACAGAGACGATAAAGTTGTTTTGCGTACCAATGAGTTGTTTCGGGATAACAAATATAGTGAACCTGACAAGAAAGGCAAACGTCATCATCAAAATCGTCATATATATATATATATATATATATATATATATATATATATATATATATATATATATATATATATATATATATATATATATCCTCAGTTTTCGATATATATATATATATATATATATATATATATATATATATATATATATATATATATATATATATACATATATATATATATATATATATATATATATATATATATATATATATATATATATATATATATATATATATATATATATATATATATACACACACACATACAGATTGTTTTTACTACATTTCTCAAAAAAACTTTTAAGTTTCACATTTTCATTGGTGTTGTATATGCTTTAATTTATTTTTTTATTATTTATAGTGTACCACAAAGAGCACCTAAATCTGAATAAATAAGTTTTTGCAAGACTTACTCATTGATATGAATACCGCGACTACAAGAGTGGATATAAATTTTCAATCAGAAATCTGAATATCAATTTGCAATTATTACTAATAACATTTTACAAAAAACCTTACCTATGTCACAATCTGTACAATCTATATTCTAAGTATCATCTTTGTCTGAGATTGCTATGAAGCCAGAAACAAAAAAAGCAAAGCTGCACAAGTTAGTCATGCACCTCTAACTTTTTTTGGCAGAAAACAAAAAAAAGGGATATAGTTAATTATTTGTTTGTGTCTTTTGATACCTCTATTGAGTGTTTTTTTTAATGTTACGCTATTGCTAGTAGTTTAGACTATTTTTCTTAGACTATTTTTGTTATTATTATTTTTTTTTTTGGCAATATAGTTTATAATAATAATTCAAGGTTTTTTTTTTTTTTTTTGTTTTTTATTTTAAATTTTAGAAATAATTTTATAATTTTTAACTAGTAATCAACTAATCTAGAAAGATCTATATCATGAACTAAAAATGTTATACTGATAAGATATTCTGCGTTGAATTTTAAAAAAAAACAACTTTTTTTATAGCCACTAGTTATTAAAAAACATCTTTTAGATTAGAATGTTGAGAAACTTTGTAAGATACTCAAGAACAAAGAATCAGATGATAGCAGATCTGTTGATAGTTTTAATAAGTTTATATTTAATGATATTGTTTTAAAATTTCTAAAAAAGTTTGTAAAATTTTATAAATTATCGGTGCTTACTGTTTTTTAAATAAAAATATCCGGGCATACGTAATTTTCCGGAATAGTCAGAAATTAGTCCGGATGAACCGTAAACTTTTTTTCATAAAAACCGGATATTTTTCTTTTAAATATAGAAATATAAACAAAAATTCGATGTTTTGTGAAAAAATCAGTTTAATATGTTGAATGCTTCCTTATTTATAAGCCTATTACCTCATTTTGTATTAGAGCGACGCATAGTGAGCACGTTGCAACCAAAAAAAAAATCACACAAAAGAAAAAAAAAACAGAAACTTACCATCTGTAAATGAAATCTATTAATGAAACTAAATAAACTACATTATTATTAAAAATAACATATACCTTATTAAAATTAGTTCTCATACTATTTCTTTATGATATGATCATATTACCACTTATGATATCTGCAGATAGCTGATATTTGCAAATCATACTCTAAAACATCATCACCCTCAATCTTATTTGGTTTCCAATAAGAAACTATATATACAGCACTGTTCTTCTTTTTAACACTACGAAGGCTGCCATAGTATATGTCCTGGCCTGACATTACACCTAGCTCACGCATCATTTGCTCCACAGTAGTGTAATAAAGAATGTAATTAAATTGACAGCCATTGATCACCAAATTTTTGGAGAAGTTGTGGCACACTATGTGTCGGAACTTGGCACACAAGTATGTAATGTACCATAGCAAATAATAACTGAAAAACCGTTTGTATTAATATGTTTTGTTAACATATTTATAGTTAATCGCAAGTTTTATCAGAAAAGTGATAAATCAAAAAGAAAAATTTCTAACTTATAACTAAACTTAAAAACTAAAACTAAAGTAAATAACAGACATTTATATCCAACACACGTTGTTAAATAAATCTTGGTATTTTTATAGATTCGAACCTCTCATAGAATTTTCATATAGATGCACTCCGTAAAAAACTTAATCGAGCTAATGGCCTGCTTTCAATAATACGCCATTATTTTGATAAAACTTAAGAATCTGTATTTTTCAATCTTTCAATCTCATCTCAACTACTGTTGTCAGGTTTGGGGACAAATTGGCAACTGTAATATTAATAAATTGTTATCAGCTCAGCGCCAATCAATTCGAACAATTAATTTTCAACTCCATGATACAGAAACTTCAAAATTCTTCAAAAAACTCAAAATTCCTACCTTGTCAGCACTAGTTAAATTTGCTAATCTTCTTTTTGTTAATGATTCCTTTAATAAATATTTACCTTCTTCTATTACAACCTTCTTCACTGAAACTCGATTTATACATTCACATTTAACTAGAAACATTAATAATGGAAAACTAAAATGTACCTCCATGTAAAACTTTGAGGTATGGTAAGTATTCAATTACACATCAGTGCATCAGTGAATGGAATCGAAGTCTTGTGTGCATTGTGAATGGGTTTGAAAAGCTAAAACTTCAAAATAATTTATCTTCATTTCTTTATTTAAAACAAAATAAGTTTAAAAAAATTCTCAAAAAAATTTATTTTAATTTTTTTTTTCATTATTAACTTTCTTTAGTTTTCTTTTTTTTCTTCTTTTTTTTTCTTACTATTTCTATAGAAACTTTATTGTATTTGTCATTAATATTTATAACTTTCATTACTGCTGTTTTTATTATTACTATTATTATTACAATTATTATAAATACTATTATTTTTGCAGTTACTTTTGCTCTATTAATGAATAAAGTTATTATTGTTAT